TCTCCTCTCCTCTCCTCTCCTCCCTCCAGGGGGCTGCCGGGGCTTGGTGCACGGCCGCCTGTGGCGCAGAGATGGCGTGTTGGCGGCCAGCTGCGCCCAGGAAGGAGTAATCCGCGTGCAGGAGCAGCCCACCGCCAGCAAGCTGTAGCAACAGCTTTTTCTTTCCCTTGCTGCTATCCCCCTTGTGGGAGGCCTCCCTCCCGGACCAGCTGAGTCTTCAGTGGGTGACGCTGGCCTACAAGGAGCGCCCGTAGCCTCTGGCGGTGAGACTCACAGGTGGAAGCACCGGTACCCCGCTTTACTTGGGCATATTAATTTATTAGACTCTCCTCTATTCCCTGAATGTTAATAAAGGGAGTGAAGCATGCCACACTGCTCTCGTTTCTGAAGCGGGGAGACTATCCCTCTTGGCCCCAGCTGCATCGATGCTGGAGGGGAGAGCTTGTGTGCGGCTGCCTGGGATGCTCCGGTTGCAAGAGAGCAGCCTGGGTGCCTCCGAGCTTCCCTTTTCCAGCGCCAAACGGCCTCCCTCCCATCTAGCAGGAACCGCCTGCAGGGATCCTCTTGGGAGGGGTCTTCGCCGCCCCTCTGCCAGCGACTGTACAGATGCTTGTGCCACCCCAATGTGGCAGTGCCATCGCCTCATTTTCTTGGAAGGATTCAGGTGATGGTGGCTCTGCATCCCAGAAGCCTCTTCTGGTTCTTGAGCTGAACGGACCAGCCCTCCCCCAAACCTCGTCCTGCTGCTCTGCAAGCAGAGGTGTGGAGCTCACGGCTGCATGTGCATAGCGCAGCGTTGGCTTCCTCCTGTTCGCCCTGTGGGTCCTGCCTCTGGTGCTCCCGTTTCCCGAGCACTTCTTCTCCCTTGGCAAAGACTCAGGGCAATGGCTGCTTGACCAGCAGCTCTTTCAAAGCGGGAGGCTGTTGTTCGCCCCCCCCAGCTTCCTGCAGGCCACGCAGGTGGGCTTCAGCCTGCCGCTTGTCCTTACCCAGCACCCAGGCCAGATGGATGTGGGCCTGCAGGAAGGCAGCCAAGAGGGGGTGGCTCTCCTGACCCTCCAGCTGGTGCAGGGCCTGCTGGCAGGCCCTGTAGGCCTCGTCCCACTGCTCCAGCTCTTGGTGGCAGACCGTCAGGCCAGCCAGCGTCAGCAAGAAATGCCCCGAGTGGCAGGCGCCCCGTTTCTCCCTCACCCGCCGTGTGTTTGTCCCGGGAGCCAGAGGCCCGGGGGAGGGGGGG